TGGGCAATTGCATCTTTAATAGAAGACGAAGCAGTTGCTCGAATAGGTTTTGAAGTTGTTACGGATGAAGGCGACGGAGATCTTGAACGTTGTGGAGATGTATTCTTTGGAGATAAAGTATTTTGAGAGACAGATGCACCTGATCTTTTGACAGATGATGGATTTTTTGAACTACTTCTATTTGATTGTAAAGATGAAGTAGTAGATGAAGTAGAAGTGTTTTGTGAGGTAGCAGAAGACGTTGTCCTAGTAGTTTTAGCCCCTCGAACAGGAATCGAACCAGTCGATGTTTTACGCATGTTTGATATTGACTTTTCTTAAAAAGTTGCTGTATAAAAACTAGAAATTTATAGAATTTATTTACGCATTAAAATGTAAGATGCTACCGTTATTTAATCAATTCGATTGCCCTTAAATAAGTTTGATAGATGAATTTGATTCGCATAATGATTCTGAGTAACAAACAAACCTTTATTTAAACTCAACTATTGTAATTCCCTACCGATACTGCGTAGTTAATCTAATATATGAATATATGCGCATGTATTAATGAAACTAAACTCTTTTAGAAAATAAGATGGTTAAACGCATATTATATGTCGTAATTCTGTACATAAAACATAAGTGGTGCTATTGTCATTTATATCGATTAATTGTAATACTTCTATGCATAACTCTGTAATTGGAATTGATGAACGAATAATCAAAGAATGTGAATAATACACAATAGTGCACTCCGTGTCATGAGAATGCAAATCCAAGCATGTTTATCGTTATTATAATTTTTTTTTTTGTTTTGTTTTTTTTTTGTTTTAAATGCACAGAAATGCCTGAATCAATTTTTTTCCATTTTTATGACTTGCAATTTGAATTAAAATTATAGCATACATCAAACGATATTTATTATAAAGATAACACAATGTATATATAAACGATACGTAATTGTAAACTAAATTATATCCATAGCGTTATTTCTAGCAAATTGCTACAAATAGCTAGCTATATTATTTCGTGCTAAGATGCGAAATTTTCTATTTCATACCATAATTATAAGACTATGAACAATTAGTAAATTTTAAATTTATAGATATATCGGCCGGATTCTAATAAGAGCTAAAACGAGGTATATTGAATGCTGTCGATGTATCAGGAAAGATACTTTAAACAATAGGTAATGTACTGTACACTTACGTAGATGATTGCTAATTTGCTATTTTTGTTAGCGTCAGCTATTTCTGTTAGCTATTTTTGCTACGTACGTAGCTATTTTGACTATTAATGTTAATGGCTGGACACTCTTGTTAGCTTTTTCGGTTTTTATTTTAACGTTGTTACCGGGTGAATTTAAACAAAAGAATTTATAATTACAAGCCACTTTCGTTATAGTAAACTCTCGTTATAGTGAACTCGTTATAGTGAATAGTAAAGAACCCTCTCAATATAGTGAAGCAAATCTCACAGCCCGATCACTTCACTATAACGAGAATGACTTGTAACAGATAAGCAAAATGATATAAGGCAACTCGCCAGAAGTGTGACTAATGGTGGTTTAACCAATTTTTATTACAGTATTTAAGAATTAATACAGGAGGGATTTATTATTAAATTTATAAGCCGTAGGTTGTTCATACAAAGGCGAAAATACATTGCTTTTATAGAGCGTAAGGGGGTTTGATCAATTAATTTAATTATTTCCTCAGCCAAGACTCAAACTATTTAGACTTTGAGCTTTTCTTTGTTTAACTCTTCGCTCATCCTTAATTCTTGTAGAGTTTTCTCTACAACACTTTCAATTTTCGCGTTTGTGTTACAACCACAGAATATTCTATTGTTGTTCGCTTAAGCCCCTTATATAAATAAATAAACATCGATATTATTTGAAAGCCACAAATTTTCTATACTTACAGGATTTACTACGCCTTATTTCATAATTAGCCTGTGACAACATTAATCTAGTCTGTTTTAAAATTGTGAAACTTTTTGTTTTAACAATGAAATATCACACAATAGAAATTTACCAGATAGCGGTACTTGGTTATTGAAATATTTCCGGTTTTAATATAACGGTATTCCTTTTTTTTTTTTAATTATGATTTTCTATTAATATTTATTATCAAATAAAAATACAAGAAAGTCTAAATACAAGAGGATAATTTTGTCTAGTTTTATATTTATAAATTCCTATTTTACAGTAAAAATTCCTAAAGTCACCTTTAGAAGAATAATAATAATAACGCAGTTTGATTTACAGACAATCTAGCAACAAAACATTTTTTCAATATCACTCCAAGCATCTTCAAATTGTCCTTGTTCCCTATAAATAGCACTTCGTTCACACAATGCCAAAAC